GCAAGTGTGGGGTGATGTACCTGAAGTATTCATTATAGGCGGTGGTGTTGGAGTCAAGGTAGAGGAGGTAGGCGGCCAGCGACTGGACGTCGGGGAAGTCGAAGACGTCGATGTAGGCGTCTTTCGGCGCCCCGGTCAACTCGTGGCCCAGGCCATACGTCACCGGGATAACGTCGTACCTATGTAGTAAGCATTGTATTTCAATTATTTACATTGAAACGAAGAAAGAGAACAATTTATATGTGATCATGACCCTCTTTATAAAACTTTAAAGAGGCAATGTACGTAGACAGGAGTATAAATGAAGAATCCAGTAATATTAGAATAAAAAAAGAAAGATAGAATCATGTACAGTAATTCGGATACTTTCAATTGAAATCGGAGTTCTCCAAAACTGAGTCCCAACCGCCTCACTCGGGATATGTCGTGTTGAAACACGAAGCAGTGAAAAAGCACGAATGCACAAATTGAAACCATCTATTCCCTGAGTTTACTTCCAATTTAACTCTACAACGTCTGGTTATCACCAATAAATAACTGTCAGTAACACCACTAATAATAAAAAAATGTTTCGGTTGGATGCGGCGATCCCAATTTACGATCTCCCAAGATTCTACAAACCTTTTTCTGATATCAATTGACCTGCTGCGAGCCAGCTCCAGGAGCTTAAAGGCGTATTTTTAAAGGAATTTCATTGTGCGTGTTCATTTCATTCGCAACTTTCACGCTAACTTTTTCCGTTTTATCCATCAGAAAAGAATTGTAAATTCATGATTGCAATCGTGCTAAGCTCAAGACTAATACATATATTATGAAACATTGCTATTTACCGTAGTAAGTTGAAGAATTTTTCCGTGACGTAGTGATTGCAGAGGGAATTTTCAAAGGAGAAGTAGAATTTGTACTCTTGCTCCACCATTTTGTAGCAATCTTCAGAGCGTGATGGACCGCACTGCAGCTTACCGCATTTGCCGTATATGTCGACTTGCACGCCGTGCTTTTGTAATGACTGCGCCAACCTTTAACACGAGATCACACTGCATTGGCTTCAGGAATATTGATGTAATATGTAATAAGTTTAATCGGAGCATTCAAGTTTTCAAATTTCTCATCAGTACGTCAAAGTGTCTATCGCATTAGCCATTGTCTCCCATGATTAATGTTAAAGTTACTCCTCGTCAGGCAAAACTTTACTGGACGAACGCGTTAATACATCACAATCAAAGGACAAAATTTACAAATAACAAACATTGTCTATCTTACCCGATAAATTTCATTGCATTTTATGTAACATAAAATGAAAGGAACTTACTTCATTCTATTACTGGGAGCCCCACAGTTGGACACGAACCAAGCAGCCATCCTTCGCTTGCTGTTTGGTGTGGCACTCCTGGAGGAGTCAGGCATGGGGCTGGAAGGCGTGCGTTTCCAATGTACCGCACCATTTCTTTTTGTTCATGGAAATGAGCAATGTGAACTTGCATATATAAAAAGTATTTGATATTTGCAGTTTTAAGATATTATATGAGACACAGACTGTGTTTGGAATAGCGGTTTTCAGGTCGAGTAAAACTATCTTCATACATCAAGAATTCATATATCCAGTATGACGTATAGACAATTATTGTGCGTTGTCAACGAAGCGGCAACTGAGAACATTGAATGTATATTCGCACAAGTTGATCAACACGACATTTCCGCGTATCTTACGTCTTCACTATGTCAGCGTCTCTTCTGTACCCCATCGTGTAGTCGACTAGTATTTCGTCGGTGACAGGCACGCGGTCCGGAGCTTCGTATGACTGAAGCACAATCTTTGCCCTTGGAAATCTGCATAATAAGGAGATAAAATCGTGTGTATTGAGATAAATTTCATAAGTCTGATAGTTATTATTACAGTTGCATCGGCAATTACCATAGAAATGAAAGAAAACTTTTAGAAATAGTCAAGGAAATGTGAAAATTTTCTGTAAATTTATCATCTTGCTATAAATTATTACTCTATAGGCTGTGATCATAAATTAATATGATTATCATTATCTTTGTATTAACGATTCTTTATTTTTGACGATTGATGTCTCTGCGTGTTTCCCTATCGTCAAATCAATAGAGTAGAGCATTGACTTGCCCTGATGTCACACTACATAGACTATAATTTTTCGGGGTTAAAGCAACATTTCTTCAGTCTGATATCAGCATGAACAAATGTGCGTTGTTGAAGAATTTTAACCACAAAAACTCGAGGCCAAACACAGCCAACAAAATATATTGAATCATGGCACACGCAGCCATTCATATTACCAACATGTTGAATTATTTAATATCTGCATGTTTGTCTCGGTTTTGCTTTGTCCAATAAACTCATTCTTCTTTCCTTAAAACCTTTCAATTAAATCTATGATTCATGTTTTTATCACCGGAGTTTCATCAATTCATATAACTTTAATTCGTTCATGTTTTTTACATTCAAAGAATAACCCAACGTTTCAGAAAAATAAATTGTTATTATTAAGAGTACCACGATTGATTGGAGTTTTGGGCTCGATCCCAGCTACCTGCCATAGTTCTGGGTAAAGTAGGCGTGGTGGCCGGGCTAAAAAAACAAATTTGGAACAGTGGGTTGCATGTTCGATATCCCATCAAGCTGTGAAAATTTACAATGTTCAGAATCAGAGACAATTCTAATAGACTAATAAACGCCGGCAATACTGCTACTATACAACGTCTAGACTGTATTCCAAACCGAGGTTCTTGTTTAGTGTACGGAGATAACGTCTAGCGCATCTACCTCACGCACTAATGCGAAGAATTGCTTTACATATCGCAATTTCTGTCTAAAACTGTAAATAATGAGAAACTTTTCGGTATATTTAAACTTTAAACGTCTGAGATGGAATATTGCATGAAATTCAAGATTATATTTGTCATTTTGGACGTACAGAAAAATGTGACCAAGTATAGGATATATATTTGAAATCGAACGCTTATGATCATAAATTCAACAGGTTGGGGCATTATCTTTAACTTTGACCATTTTTTCGAATTAACTGGCCGAAGCAGAATAATTTGACATAACTAAATGTGACCGGCATTGCCATAACCTTTAAACTAAATAGTGACCTTGTTTCTGGGCCCTGATTTTTTTCAAGGCGCTCACCTTTTTCTCTCAGGAAAAAGACTGTTTTTCTTCTTTCTTGGCATCCTCATAGAGTTAAATACAATTGCGTCTACTTCGTCAGGCACGACAAGAGTTCTGTTCGCGGTGATTCGGCAATTGTTTACGGGGCATTTAAGGAAGTACTCTCGGTCCCAATGATTTGTTCTTGTTGGAAATCTCTGAAAAAAAAAGATTTAAGCAAATATTCCTCTGGCTTCTTACCCCAGAAACACCCAGGAAACGAATGTTTCTTTGAATGGAAAAGAAACTGGAAAACGAAAGCAATTACAAAACTGAGAGCGCAACATGCACCTAACCTTGACGTACCGGGAAACGTTGATTATTTAACACGTCAAGTGCGGCACTCACCGGTGCATAATGCACCGGTGGATATAGCAGGGTCTTTTTTCAGGAAAAATTCCGCAATTGATTTTTTTTTTCAATTGCGTTTGTCGGCAAAAATTTATGATTGCCGTACTACCTCATTAAATTTAACAATGTACGGAAAAAAGGAAAATGCAATTTTTGCACCGGAACTTACAAATTTACTAGTAAATTTTTTATTATAAAGGCCTTTTTATCGCGGATTGGCCGTTCTTCGGCCATCTGGCGGCGCTGGTGGGCCGTGGCCCACTTAACGTGTTACGCGATGAAACTACAATATGTCCAAAGAAATGCGAGCATAAATGAGAAATTGATTATTGTTAAAACTCAATTTTCTTGGATGATAAGGGAAGTATTTTAGTCCAGGTCAATGGAGTTAATATGACATGTATTTGATGTGTTTGGAGCTGGGATCCGGAATGTTTTAAATTATGACATATTGAATTTTTTGAGCTTTCTTCGCTTTCTAATTATTGGTGAATTTACGATTCGAATGGATTAATAATATAAATATTTGTGTACTTGTATAAATGCGTGAGCCAATATGTCGAATAAATAGACTGCTTACATTAGTGTCAATTGTATCAAAATTCTAACGATACTGACGCATAGTCATTGCATTGTTTTTAAAGAATTCGTCTTCTGCCAAGCAGAGAAAAATTAAGAAAGTGGTCGTTCGCATGATGGCATGCTGTGCGTCTTCACACCATATTTAGCTTTGTAAACATCAGTGCTCACAGGAAGTGACCTGACACAACGAGATTGTTTTTTTTCAGTCGCAATTAGTGAAATACGAGGAGTTCGTCGTCGAAGAAAAGTAAAAATACTTGCTTTAAAATTATATAGGTAGAAAGTAAAATTAGAATGATAATTCTCTTTTATGATAATGCTTCGGATGCTACGAAGTAGTAAAATTTGAGATCATAATTTCAATTTCCTCAAGTTAGAATTTCTGTTCATCATATATACGACGTCTGCTAAAGTTCATAAGTTATTGCAAGATAACTGGATCGAATTTGAAGAATTCTGCTGTGGAGAAAATTGCCCAAAATATTCTTGAACTACGCATAAATTGACTAAGATTGTAATGAAGAGGTGCTGTATTATTGATTAGCAAGAGAAATTTTTTTCTATGCTTGGTTTCTTTGTGACCAAAAAACGAATTTTGCACTGGCACTAGTTAAAAAAACTTAAAATAGGGCGGGAAAAATTTTTTACTTTTCAAATCTTCTTCCGAAATTTAATTTTCAATGCGCACAGTTTGAAAATAAAATAAAAATATATATATAAAGGAGATACATACTGGCAAACCATTACCTGAATCGAAGGCGTCAGAATTGGAAAATATATTTTTTGATGAACTTTACTTACCTCCGACCACTCCAAGATATTTTTGATGACTCCGTTAGATTCGTTTGTCGTTGGCGGCTCTAACCCGTTGTCCCACCGGCTCTCCAACCGGCGCTGGATGTAATCGAAGTCGAGGGAGGATTTTGCTATTTTGTTTACCCTGCGGTGAATATGGCAATGACTGGAAATTATTCCAAATACTATGTCAATTGTTTGACTTAGCATCTCACATATGATGGAAATCTAGGAATAACGTAGCTCATCAGCACTACGAACGTGATTGGAGTTCTTTTCATTTTGCCAATGTTTCTCCGAATTAGGCCACATTATACTTACATTAGTCGAAGACCGCAGGAACGTCCTACTGATCCATCGGTCTTCCCAACATCACAGTCGACGAATTTGCTGATAAATGACTCTTTGTGATCAGCCAAGTCTTCCGCTATCATTCTTACAGGCAATGTTTTTAAGGAGCAAGAGGAAGCTAAGGAAATTTTACTGGGAGCGTAAATTGTAACATTGCTGTAAGTGGAAATGGTTGAGTTGCCGGAAGAAGAAAAAGTAATATTGCCAGTAGCGTAAATTCTGGTGCCACTAGAAGAAGCGATAACCATACGGCCATTAGGTAAAGCTTCATCCAAGTCAGAAACTCCACCAGGACCGGTAGTGCACACTATTAACTGACTGAAAGCTTGAAATGTCATTGTAGCGGAATAAAAATCTCCGAAAATTCCGTCGATGGAAATGTTCATTGCAAGGTGAGATGAAATAACAATTTTTAATCTCGAGACGTCACATTTGGAAGATGATTTGGAAGTTGTGAGATCGGCGCAAGTTGTAGGAGTTTTCCTAGAAATCTTATCGGCATTTGGTTCAAGTGGTTCTGAATTTGTAAATAAATGTGTAAGGAAAGGCGTTTCTGTTTGAAACCTGCTGAGCATGTAGAAGCTCAAAATCAAAAGTGCCATAAGAATCCCTCCGCTAGCCACGCATTCCTGGAAGTGAGAAAAAAATCAGCCATTACTAATTAAACATGTGGAATGTTGACTTCACAAAAGACTATAAAAATTGAAGTTGTTGAGGTATTCAAAATTGTATTTTTGAATTATTATTTAATCTGCATCATTTGTCAATAGGATAGAATTAGATACGCTGTCAACGACTGGCAGGTAAAGAAATCGAAACCCGAAGATCGGTTTTTCTTTACGAGAGGTCGTCCCGATGTACGAAATGTTCAAAATTTTATACTATAGTGAAGAGGTATGGGTTGCGCAACATATTTCGTTCTAAATAATGATTGGATTTTTAGTTCCGAAATGGCTGTGCTTCACTTGAGATAGAAAAGTAAAGCTCTTAGTAAAAATGTAGTTATAAATTGGCAGATACAGTACGACTCAACAATATTATTCACTCGTGGGTTCCACTGCACCTTATCAAAGAGATCAAATAAAAATGTCATCATGGGTATTGACAATAAAATCCTTTTTCAGAAGTGGGCAAATACTATCTACAATTATTAACTTGTGGATTGTAAATTTCTTTCTTTTTCGACAAAGGCGGATGGAAGGCCAGAATTTCCAAGCTTCGTTAAATCCAGTCAATTTTTTTGACCGACGTAATGCATTTGCTTGATAATAAGGTTAGGGTTTTTCATTTACTCATCTTTGGTTTATATTTAGTGTGCATGTTTTTCAATACAAACTGGAATATTTTTCGCTGCATGAACGAAATAGTTCGAGATTATAATTTGTGTTCGTCAATTTTTGTGCTCTAATGTTGACAATTGTTCGGGAATAGGCTTCTACCGAATGTCTAACGCGATATAGGAGAACGCGGTCGATTAGTTGAGTATAATTAATAAGCAACGATTCCTAGCTGAGCTCCCGGCCGCGTACGTGTCAGTTATCGACGAAATACAGGGCGACTACATCATGGGGAACTGAAAAGACGCTGATATGGTGAAGACGTAAGATACACGGAAATGTCTTGTAAATCAACTTGTGCGACTATACAATTACAATCTCTAGTTATCGCTTCGTTCCCAACGCACAATTGTATTTTCTACACATAATAATTGATTTTTGAATAATTATGGATGGTTTGACTCAATCTGAAACGCGGTGTTTCAAACACCGACTTTATCTCTCTTCCCAGTCAGAAATCGCTGCAGTCTGGGAGCAGCCACGGGTGAACATGTCTGTCCTAACGCTCGCCCCAGCGCAGCGACAGAGGGTTAACAACGCAGGCATGTCCACAGCAGCGCAAATTATGGCAGGATTTCTAGACTCCAGGCAGGGCCAACAGCCGCAGTCCGTTTGCCTCGCCGCGAGCGACCAGGCCGGCGCGCACAGGTAGCTAGTATACGTATCTAAAAATCAGACGTCAACTATTTTTTAACCGTGCAAGTTCATACGGAGTATTTCCGCGTCCAAAATTGCTTTTAACAGAAATTGTGTGGTACACACCCGAGCACAAAATTTCACGGTATCCTCATCACGGGTTCCAGTGATGAATTTTACTTCGATATTATTAGGCTCAGCCAAAGAGTCGCCAATGCAGGTCCCAGAATTGCATGACTAAACTCAAACAGGGCAAAGAAAGCAGTTATCTGGTCGGGTGGATTGTTCTTTTCGTAAAAGGTCTTAGTTCCTATACGGTAGGCTAATCACTAGTGGGCTGTTATATATTAGTGTTCGTATGTTCTCACCCGAGTTCTACAATAGCTTCTTCTCAGTGTTAGTGTTGTCATGATAGTTCATTCAAAAGGCAATCCATCACTCATCTCTTAGAAAGCCTTCACCGTCATGCATATGTACATGTAACTGATGTAATATTAGAGAAAATTAACCTAAAACAAGAAACCAGAGAATTGACTGGCTGCTTTCACGGTCAAGCACTGGTCAAATATCGACAAGACGAAGCTTGTTCATAAGGTACGAAGAAGCACTTTTAAACATTATGGAAAATACGTTATCTACTTCACACTCACAAGGAAATAACTCACCTGACGTAAGAATCGGCTAGCCAATTGTCGCTTTGTGGGGAGTAGCGACGACATTGCAGGCTATGCAATTTTTGGTTGACTATAATTCATTAACAAATCTATTAGTGATCGTGGATTTTAACCGCCGAGTCTGTTAATATTTTATAATTAGAATATTTAAACAATTTGTTCGTACCAAATTTTAATGTTCAGATTGAGATATATGAATTTCTCTGTCATTCGATTTTTATAAAGAGACACATTGCAATTTCGGTGCGTTGTCTACAACGATGGAGCAGCAGCGTTTCTCTCATGACTCAAATCGCTGGACTATAGAGTGAATTGAGTGTGAGCTTGCCACGTCTCATTCAGGTTTGGTGCACCTGCGAAATAGTTCACACCTGCGAAACAACACCTGCGAAATAACTCACACCTGCGAAATAAATCACGCGGCTGAGCAATTAAGCGGTTGTAGCAGCACTGTCAGGCTGGTTATCTTTTCATTTCATCTTATCTTACAAAATTATCTCGTTTTTCTAGGTTTCAGATAGAAAACAATAAATTAATCAGATTATACAGAGTATGATTTGGAAGAAAAATAATATGGAATGAATTGATTTGAAATTCCTTACGGCTTAGGCTGATTAAAACTTTGTTTCAAATCGAGTAATTAAAATGGGAAATACTGCATAAGCTTGTAATGAAATGAATTAACGCGACCTCAGAGACTACCAGTTGCATGAGAAGTCCGGTCTTCCAATTAGAAGTCCAGTCCCTATACATTCCTCGAAAAATACCGAGTGAAACACCATATCGTGAGGCCCGGGCTTAGCAATTGTAAGTCCAGAAATACGGAAAACATCATCTATGCCATCATAATTTTTCCTTGCGTTTAGTATAACTTAGCTGAATTTTGCGAATTCATATTATAGTGTTGCGTTCATTCCTCAAAAGCGTTGAAATAAATAAGGATTCTGTCAATCGCATATTCATTGGTTAAATTAGCTTTCCAATTTGCTCAAGGAAGAAACATGTAGATTATAAAAAAACTTCACTTATAAAACCGCGAGTCAAAAATGTAAAGTTTGCAAACTCTCTCAGAATTTAAACAATTGAATCTGTTCTTTCATCTAGAATCGTATGCGTTTCTAATTGGAACTCAGGGTGTTTTTCGCCTTGCAGAACATTTGACGCATTTATCTTGATTGTTCATTTATTCTAGCAACTTAGAATTTCATGAGAAGGAATGCTCCAATCTCTTCAGAAATTCGAAAATTCAGTTTTGCAAAATGCAATTCTATTTATTTTACAATATTCATTCGATTTATTTAACTGTGTTATGTTGGTTGATAGGAGAATTGTCGGAAGCACATACTTTACATTGCGGTATTAGGACAAAAATAACATAGATTCACGATGTCTCATGATCGCGAAGGAAATAAAAATGTAGAATATCTCTACTCATTTTCTTAATTGATGAATTTAGGGAACAAAATGCATACAATTTCATGCAATTTATTTTCCATTCTGTTTATCGCTAAGTCACTTAGCAGCATCAGCAGGAACCAAATCTTCATAACAATTTAGAAGATTGACGGTTCAGCTTCAAGGAAAAAAAAGACTAGAAACATTATGACACCACTATATATATTGAGATAACGACTGTTTCATGTTTTTAGGATTAGTAACTTTAATTCTTGTAATTATTTTGAAATTCATGTTTACAATTGACTGGATCGATAAGCTCATTATCGATGCTTCCTGCTGTTCCACAATTTGTTTATTCAATAATAGTCACAAGGACGACAGTGAAGATGAGGCGTGCTTGCCTTCAATGAAGTCGCTTATTTTTCTGTTTTCGTCCACGTCGATGCACTGGCCCTCGTTGACCCAGGCTGCGACGCTTGTATATTCACGTTCAGGTTCGATGCCTCGCACCAGAATTTCACACAACTGCAACTCAATCGTCAGGAAGAGGAAAATATTGAAATTAAGATATGAAGTATATAGTTCAAAATATGTTGTATGTATGTTGTTCATAATGAACAAATTAATGTCGTTTGCGCATCATGATAATAAAAAGCTTCAAAAATCTCCTCGATGGTGAAATTTGAAATACATGGACTTGAAGTACTTAATTATCATGCAAAAATTTACAATGTTTATGCTTTAGCCAACGAATAAATATTACGTTCGATGGTAGCGCAGTTGTTGCAAAAATTAAACACTGACTACTTAATGAAGGCTACCACCATGAAAATTGGCACTAATAAATGGAAACCTCGAATTCAAGGCAAAATATTGGTAAAATTGTATAGCTAATACCTTACAAACTTTAAAATTTGTTATATTTACTTCACAGCTTCTCAAGCCAAATTAGTTATGACAAATTTCTCACTCTACAGTAGCCGCTGCTCCCTGATAGGAAGTCGCTCACTTCATAGAACTGCTTCCACCTGAACGTCAGATCAAGCACAAGAATGAAACAAATTTTGAGATAAAAACATCCAGATCTTGGGAAACACTCAGAACAAAGTTCGTCGTCTATATATCCTGGAATTTGATTAATGTCGAGCTGAGAGTGCAATTAATTATGGTATCCCGGCGTATTAATGATGATGCAGAATGCATAATTCAAGTACACCCATTCTAGAATACTTAGATACTATTACTATTTATACTAAGATTTTGAAGGTTACATACAAACTCAAATTTTAGTCGGCAGTAAATGAGATGGCGACAGCTATTCGAAAATTAAATTGAGTAAACCTTGAATGAGGTGAAATAATGAATGATAGAATATGAGTATGTATGTCTTGAGGGTATGATCTTTCGTTTTAAATTAGTAACAAAATAGCTCTGTGAATGAAATTACAAGAAAAATGTTCACTATGATATTGAAAAGTTAAAAATTTGGTGTAACGCGCTTAGAACTAGTCTAAAAATTTTGCAATAAAAGAGGAGCGACGAGGGGCAAGAAGCACGAGGAAAATTTACAATATGAAAACTTTAGTGAAAAGTACCTGAAGTCCTCATTATAATGTTGATGTTGGTGTAAAGCGGTCATGGTACGATGCTTCACAGGTACAGTGAACAGTCACCTCAGAGTTACGGAAAATATTTTTCACAATTCTCTTTAACTGAGCCAGTAATACATGGACCCAACATTTTGATTAAAAGGTCACAATGCTTTGTTGGATCAAAAGTAGTGTTATGAGGTGCAATAGACTTTCCTGTGTATAGGGATGAATGCCATCTCATTAGTTTGCTTTTTAGTATGGAGCGATGTACATGAAGTAGGTATTCATATAGGCGGTAGTGTTGGAGTCAGTAGCAAGTGTGGGGTGATGTACCTGAAGTATTCATTATAGGCGATGGAAGACGCTGCTTGAGCACATTGTATAAGACATCGTGGGATGTAAGAGGGTTGAGTTTATTGATATTGAAATTAAAATGTAGGGGGTAAGGGAACATTCTGGTTTTTGTCTAGACCTAAACTATCAGGTGATTTACCGTGCAGGCTCTTATTATCATAGGGTGCATGAAACTTTATATAAGGGCTGCATGTTCATATAGTCGGTCTGTGTGAGCTTAGAGAACACCTGAATATGATAAGAATCCTTCGCTCCCGGCAGTTCAGAGACATCGCTCTACGAAGAAACAATTATTTTACAATTCTGCTCGGGAATCGTACGTACATCAGCGACGGGGCATCGTAAAAGGATGTCCAGCGTTGGCGTCTATTACACGGCCAATATCCGAACAGCTATTCCAAGACTTAAACATTTGTTCACGTATCAGGATTTCAGAGAATAAATAAAATGATTCGATCACACCTAAAAGGGTTTCTTCCTCTTGTGTGTTTCCGATAGCCTCTGTGTATACGCGCTTCATTTGGGAAAAAAATTCTGCCTGCACTAGTACCCTGTCGTCACAGTTATTGTGCACATTTCCCTGTAAATATAAAAAGTTTTACCATATTTCTTTCAACACATCTTATTTTAATCAGTCAATTTCAATGCCGCAATCGGTGCTGTACTAATTAAAGTACGACACTGTAATAGGACTCCCAAAACGAATCTATTTACGTTTAAGAACTCTGTCCAGAAAGAAAGAAGGGCCTATATGTAATTTTGCAATATATTTTGCGCCATAGCCCACCCAAAGACGACAATATATTTTCCTGAAAATAATTGTTTCTTATAATTCCTCACGCCTATATTGACTGTTGAACGGGGAAAAGGAACTTACTTGAAGCCAAGAAGCGATAATAAAAATAGATATCATAGGGATTACAGAAAACAATTGTGCCAAATGGAAGAGTGCAAATAAGGTCGAGAACAAGTTTCATTTATTAAATGCTTATTCGACGCAGACCATTTGAATGATATAATTGAATTGAAAAATTTATTTCACTGAATTTTCTTTGTCATAGAAGCTGGCTGCTGATTATGCGGCAGTCCAGAATTGTTGAGATCTTCATTATCGCAGGAGACGATTGTGTAATTCGACTGAGCGAAGTTGGCTTACAATTAGAAACCCCGTGGCCTGCTCGTAGGCAGCACAAACCTTCTCATTTTAATCAATATTAAGGACAGCGAATGTTCATGCAGGATTTAGTTTCACGGAAAGAACCACCAAAACATGCAATAAAATTGATAAATATTTCATTACTATACGTTGCGTCAACTCCGTTAAACGTTCTGTAAAACGCTTTCCGTTTTTTAGTTTGGGTTGCCGTAAGTCCGCGTTCAGGTTTTAGGATAACCACAGTTCCAAAAAATGTCCTTTTTATTGAACGAAAAATTGTATAGGAAAGAACAAACATAAATATATTAACCCTATGAACTTCATCGTATGCTTATGATATTCAATTATAACAAATAATCATCAGAACTATAAACAAGTTATGAGAAAGCATAAATTAACTCACCCAAATATTGTGGGACGTTTTAACGCGGGCTACGAAGAACTGAGTTAGCATGAAACTATTCGATACATTGTCGATTAGCTTTACATCCTAAAGGTCTGATTAACAAGTAAACCATAGGAGCGCATAAGAAATAGACAATTACAAACTATGCTTACAAAAGGTTTGCTAAAAATATATACGCGTTCCATAAAAGGTAAGATTTACTACACCTAGCTACGACTACTGTTTCTATACCCACGTACCAACTTAAATTCCCATTCCAGCAATTTCATTTCCTCTCTTAAAAGTTTTTCATCCTCTCTCGATCAAAAATTTATTTTAGTTACTCAATAACCGAATGGAGGTCATTCCACCTCATTATTGCGTTTTATTATTCTACGAAGAGATTATCGGGCGTCTGGTTCAAATGAACTTCGGGGGCACGTCACACGAGGAATAGTAATGCAAGTTTGATAGTAAACGAAGAATAAACAGACATGAATATGGATGATAACGGATGAAAACGAATAAAAAAGGATTCAAAGGCTCTACCAAATAGTTCCGTCTTTAGGCGTCGACGAAACTCCGGCAATGAAGGAGACGATGCCACAGAACCCGGCAGACAGTTCGAGGTTCTGGCGGCGGCAACCGGGAACGCTAAGTCGCTGACGGTAGAGAGACGTGTGGATGGCAAGACTAGATCCGCTATTGACGACGAACGCACTCGCCTTCTAGAAGACAGATCCGACACACGCTGTAGACCTTCCGTGAGATATGGATGCGCGAGACCGTAAAAGCATCGGAACGTCAGAACAGCGACTTAGAACTGTGTGCGCTGCTGCTTGCGCAACCAGTGAAGATCGCGTAATATCAACGTTACATGGTCGGATTTTCGCTTATCAAATACGAGTCGCACGGCAGCGTTCATTACGGACTGCAGTTTATTAAGTGCCGCAGTTGGAAGTCCATAGAGTCTGGCATTGCCATAGTCTAATCTGGTCAGAACGAACACCAACGCGAGGGCTTCGAGGACCGGCCTCAAGAGACAGTGGCTGACGCAACGATTTAGTCGCAGAGCGCCAAAACAAGCGATGGTGACTTAAGCTATGCGATTGTTCATAGAAAGTTCCAAGTCCAGCTGAATGACGAGGTTTCGAAGCGAAAACGCAGGCGTGACGAACTCGTTGCCCACGCGAACAGGGTTGGTCGAATGCTGATGCTGATGCCGAGCTGTCGCAGGAATAATTATTTGCTGCAAGATCTTTCGCAGTCTCCGTGTTTGTTTTTCGTTGCCAAGTAGGTGTAATTATTAAAAGTAAAATTAGCTTTCTGTTTCTGAGATATATTTTTTATGATGCTTATCTCAAATACAGTCTGCAATCTATCTACAATGGAATTTCAGGTCGTTTTAAGTGAGAGATTAACTAATTGACAATTAATCGAGCAGTGGTTTAATTCTTTGAGGAATTCGTAATTAAAGCCATGGTATATGAAATAAATTAATCGAAAATCAGGTGCCCGGCTATCATGACACGTTAAAATATTTGTATTATCATCAGACAAGAAGTGGATCTGAGGCGGGTATGCCTTCGATGAAGTCGCTTATGCGTCGGTTCTTCTCCACGTTGATGCACTGGCCCTCGTTGACCCAGGCTGCGACGCTTGTATATTCTCGTTCAGGTTCGATGCCTCGCACCAGAATTTCACACAACTGTATGGCATCAGGGACGAAAATTAATAAGGAGCTGGTCTTGAAAATATAAAAGAAGAGGAAAAAAATATATGCCATAAGGAAATGGATGCAGTATGAATGAATAAATTTTCGAATTTGTTCTACTTACAATATTCTGCACGCTGAATTCGAATTTTTACGCAATATTTTTTCGCTTAATGGATTTCCGACTAATCTGGTGTTTACCCAAATAAAGAAATTCATGTCCAAGCGGTACAATGAGGTTGCCCCCGAGCGCGACAGTAGGGATGTTGTTTATAGCTCTCTTCCATATTTCGGCCCTGCATCCGAAACTATGTCAAGGGAGCTAAAACTTCTGTTTTCTAAGTATTTCGCAAATATTAACCTACGTGTTATATTGGTCAACCATTTTAAAATCGGTTCTTTTTTTGGTACAAAGATACTCTCCCTATGCATATGCGAGCGTCCCTAGTTTATGAATATAGTTGTGCACGATGTGCATCTGCGTACGTCGGGATGACGTCTCGCAATCTTTATTCTAGGATCGCAGAACATAAGGGCAGAAGTTGTAGAACTGGTAACTTACTGTCGCGCCCCCCTCATTCAGCTGTGCGGGCTCACGCCGAGCAGTGCGATGTCCCAGTGTCTGACAGTGACTTCAAAGTTTTAGCTTCCAGTTCCGGTATTTCTGATTCGCGCATTTTAGAATCATTGTATATTTTTAAACAGAGGCCTAGTTTGAATTTAGCTTTTAGCTCGTACTTGCTGGAAATTGTTAATAGATAGGTTTTACAGCTTAGGTTTTTTGTTGCAATCATGACTGTACTAATTACTGATTTATCTGTGTTCTAGAATTTTCGAACTGGCGATGGAGCTGGACTCCGAAACGTTTTCTTTAAAGATACTATGAATTTTTGTGGAATTTTCTTTGCTTTTAAGTTTTTAGTGAATTTGCGATTAAAGCAAACAAGTGACATTATTACTTATGAATGAATAAATTGTGACTGGAACCATCATTCATTTTGACCATGATAAAGGAATTAAAAATTCCTTGGTTTAAAATTCCCCTTGAGCTAAAATTGAGTTGTGTTTCAGCCACTGATGGTGATCTGTTATGGTACATAAATATAAAGACTTAAGATCCTAGACATGAAATATTTTAAAATTTTTCTTTTGTTTGACACGACTAGTTGGCGCATTCCCAATTTAAATTTTTCCTAGCCTATCCTACTTTAAGAATAGCTAACCTTGCAGAATCCTCCATGGTCTCCCAAGAAGTCGCTCACTTCGTAGAACTGTTTCCACCTAAAGATTGTAACATTCAGGGGCAAAATTAAATTAAATTATTCAATTATATTAACGCTATACTTCCAAATACTTTCTGGTCACCGTGCTCGTTCACGCTAATGTCAATATATAGAGTTTGTTCTTGATGAATGAGAGAATGAATTTACTCAAATTACACTATGCTTCCAGGGAGAAATTAGTAAACGTATTAAAGTCGCCCGTATTAAAAACTTTGCCTTAGTACGGCGATGATTTGTTATTTCCGTGCCTGCAGCCACGGGCACTGAGAGGGCCGAGTAGGCGTCGCGTCGCGCGCCGCTCACTGCCGCTGCTATCGAGACAAAACCCTGCTAAGGCGTATATGCAACGCCAACGATTGGCCGGGTGGCCCTAATAATTACGGCACCATAAACGGTCTTCCCATCACTGATGCTGCACTGCTGCAGCATTCACGCGACTGCAGATATGCATGCGGTAGAAAATGTTGGTACAAATTTTCAGGTGGGTAGAGGTGGTGGTATTCGAGTCGGTAGCAAGTGTGGGGTGATGTACCTGAAGTATTCATTATAGGTTGTGGTGTTAGAGTCGGTAGCTAGTGTGGGGTGATGTACCTGAAGTATTCATTATAGGTGGTGGTGTTGTAGTCGGTAGCAAGTGTGGGGTGATGTACCTGAAGTATTCATTATAGGCGGTGGTGTTGGAGTCGGTAGCAAGTGTGGGGTGATGTACCTGAAGTATTCCTTATAGGCGGTGGCGTTGGAGTCGAGGTAGAGGAGGTAGGCGGCCAGCGACTGGACGTCGGGGAAGTCGAAGACGTCGATGTAGGCGTCTTTTGGCGCCCCGGTCAACTCGTGGCCCAGGCCGTACGTTACCGGGATGACGTCGTACCTTCAATATAATAATATTATTGTACACAAGTTGATTTCAGGTCACCATGTTGGTAAAAAAATTTTGATGGGTTCTTGTTGGCTGTAATGAAATTTTATGAATTAAAACTCTCAGAACAGAAACAAAAAGAAATGTTGATGGTCAAAGAATAAGTAGAAATAAGAAATTTGATTACAAGATTAAATACAACTAAGAAAAAAATTGTGTGTTGATGCTAACAATTAGATTGGTTGTCAGTTCATTCAATGAAATCGATTTATGGAACATTCAATCAAAATTTAGTCAAAATATAAATCTTACTCACCGCAATAAGTTGAAGAATTTTTCTGTGACGTAGTGATTGCAGAGGGAATTTTCAAAGGACAAGTAGAATTTGTACTCCTGCTCCACCATTTTATAGCATGCATCAGATTGAGATGGGCCGCACTGCAGCTTACCGCATTTGCCGTATATGTCGACTTGCACGCCGTGCTTCTGCAAGGACTGCGCCAACCTTAATTAGGCGAAATAAATTAATACTAATTTTCGTTATTTTTGCTATCTTATTCCCTCATAAGTATTGCTATCTTATTCCCTCATAAATATAAATGACGGGGTAACATTTCTCGTTTTTATTTCTGTAGTCTCCAAGTAATGTAGCACATGTGATTTTGAAAGCCAATTTTCTTCTAGCTCTAAATTATTGTCTTATCTAACGTATTTACAATGAACAATTAATGAAAATAAGTTCTCGATTTTAAGTAATATTTAATTAAACAATACAGTACAGACCCTCTCTAAATTGATTAGTAATTTGAAGACAACATTTTTTCATTTGAATGGTTTTGTATTTGCAAGAGAAGAAATATTTTTGCACAAAATTTATAAATGTCAATCTTACAATGATGCAGAAGAACGTACTTCATTCTATCACTGCGAGTTTTATGGCAGTTGGACACAAACCAAGCAGCCATTCGTCGCTTGGTATTTCCAGATGCGTCAAGTTTTGAGTTGGTTGGTTTGACTTTAACGCTTACAGCTCCACTCCTGTTGGAAGTTTTGGTCAGAAGAACGCAGAATAAAATATTTGACTAAAATTAATCAACGTCAAATTCCAACGTAATTGAAAAGTTGCTTACTTTTGCAAAAAGTATACCATAAGTAATGATTATTTCTGCTTATGACCTTTGATAAAAGAAATATTTGGACAAAAAGAGTCCTGAATGTTATCAAGGTACCAAATTTTTCGTAAAACCTATAAATTCAGCTTACGTCACCACGATGTCAGAGTCCATTCTATACCCCATGGTGTAGTCGACTAGTCCTTCATATGGCGTCATGTCCTGAAGTCTTTGTCTTATTGGCGACTCGTACGACTGCAGTACGAACTTCGCGTTCGGATAACTAAATCGTTGGAAGAAAAAGTCTTTCAAATTAATATCATTTGAGTGTTAATAAATAACAAATAATCTTTAGAAAAAGAGATTAACTTTTATTTAGGAAGATGTGCTGCTGGCAGTAGATTGGTGAGCAAGTGATTTTCTCACTATAATGTCCTACTTAAAAAAGTGTCCGAAATGATTCAAAAAATATTTATTTTTTAAGGTATACCTGGTACGACTATATTTACACAACCGAAATTAAAACCTAAATTGATCCAGAAAATATTTTATCCGACATTATTTTAAAATTTTTTAACTGAAACTGTGCTACAATGCATCGTTGCGGGAATTTAATGCCTTCACTGTAACCAGCGGAAGCACGTTACTTTATATAATTCTCTTTGATCTTCCTCAATGTGGTCACCTTTTTCGGTCCGGAAAAGGCATCCATCGTACCGGCCCTTGCATCCACCACGAGTTCAGGATAATTGCGTCGACCTCGTCAGGAGTCACGAGGGTTTTGTTGGCGGTAATTTGGCAGCTGTTAACGGGGCACGTTGCAAACAGCTTCCGGTCTCCATATTTGGTTCTGAATGGAATTCTCTGCATTAAAAAAGAACATTAAATCGTTACAATAAATTGAAAACTTATACCTGCTTTTTAATTGAGTATGATTATACGAGCTTGAAATTATGAATAATAACTAAAATGGAACGTATATTAAATCTAGGCATTTACTACTCATTTTCTTTGCACACTTTTCATTCATGTCGGTACATTTTCTTTGTATATGTTAATTATTTATTTTAAATCTCTAATATTTTTGAATGTATCCAACTTTACGTCTCGCATACACTTACTCTGCTTGTGATATGCAATGTTGCATTGTTTAATACATTGTTTCATTCGTTAAATTTTTTTTTTTAAATTTTAGCTTCCTTTCAAATGCTTTTCATGAATTTGATAACATTCTCCATAACTTTTCGGGAAATTTTCTTCCATTTTAGTTTAAAATTTTCAAACATCGAATCGTTAATATTGTTCTTCAATATTATTATTCATGCAGTTTGGATCATTTTACGAACCTTATATTTAATTTTCAATGAATAAAGACTGTTTTCGTACATGTAAATACGTATGATTATTTACGCTTGTATTCAGAATGCATGCGTATTATTAATTTCGATGTCGTAATCATTACGGAGAAAAAGGAATAATATATGTGGTTTTATAAGCAAAATTTATATACTAAATATAAACATTAAACATTTGATTCAGCAGAAAAATTTAGCTCCAATATCAGAATCATAAAGTTGTTTGCGTCCTTTAATGTCAAGCGTGTTGTATTGAATGTTAATTTTACGATTATCGCAGAATGTAAATTTATCTCATAATTGACGATTCTTATCTTGAATGTAAATTTGACGATATTATCTATATTAATATATTTTTTGAGCAACACCCGATTTGATGGCTCGTTTTGGGATAAGTTAGACTCACCTCGGCCCACACCAAAATAGTTTTGACGTCAGCTAGAGATCCGTTCGTCACATTCCGAACATGTTTATTGCGCCATCTGCTGTCTATACGACGCTGGATGGAATCAAAATCCAATGAGTCCTTGGCTATTGGATTGATCCTGCATGGAGTATATGGGAGAAAAATGTTTGATAATCCCACTATTGCTAGTTAGTATTCGGTTTAAGAATAATTTGGTCACATACATGGTTTAGAAGGCAGGTAAAATGTGTTCATGTTATCGTGGGAACAAGAGAGAAATGCAACGATCATATTACAGTCGGTATATCTACTTACACGATATGAACTCAGTTTTTCATATCGTTTAACTGCTCTGAAAGACGTTATAAAAATTCACTTACTTTAGTCGCAGAGCGCAAGACCGTCCCACCGGTCCGACAGTCCCCCCATCATCGCAGTCGATGAATTTACTAGAAAAAAATTCTTTTTGGATAGCCAAGTCTTCGGCTGCTATTCTTGCATGTAATGAAATGGGGTAGCCGGAGTAAACTAAGCTTATGTTTTTGGCGGCGTGAATTGTGACTTTAGCGTGAGTGGAAATGGTTGAGTTGCCGGAAGAAGAAAACGTGATGTTGCCATTGGCATGAATTTTGGTGCTGCCAGAAGAAGATATGTTGATTTGGCCAGAAGGCAAGGCTTCATCCAAGTCAGAAACTCCATCCTGACCGGTAGTGCACACTTTAAACTGACTGAAGGCTTCGAGTGTTATGTTGTTTGAATAAAACTCTCCGGAAATTCCATCGATAGAAATATTCATTGCAACATAAGACGAAATTACAACATTCGATGTCGAGACGTTTGATTTCGAGGACGATTTGTCGGGCATGAGATCGACACATTTGATATCAATGACACCCTTATTGTTATCAAGTTTTGGTTCGTAACGCGGAAAGCTTGCGAATGAAGCGAGAAATAACGTTTCTGTTTGACAGTTGCTGACGATGAACAAAATTGAAATCAAAACTGCCACGAGGAACACGCCGCGGTACAGCCATTTCTGAAACAGAGAAAATTTACGCAAACATTACATTCAAGTATTATCGAAAAATTTTCGGTCATTGTCGTCGCAAAAATGTCTCGAGATTAGTCGGGTCATAACAGTCTTAAAACCAACTTTAAATCTTCTCTACGTATAGGTGATCAGAAGGCATTCTGTCAACAGTTTGTAACTGAAGATATTGAAATGTCTGTTATTTACAGCCTTGGATTACCGTACGGTCAACTCACATGTATGCCAGCAATCAAGAATAGTCAAAATATTCAAAGCATTTACACTAGATAATAATTACGCTCTAATGATTTTAGTCGTCCGTGTTCAAGCGACGACTGAGAACGCCGTTGACCTGGTCATATTGAATATTCAATCTAAAAGCATTTTCGGTAATTTTATGGAGGCTGTCACATAGGCAGTAGGAGACTGTAAATTATTTCTACCCAGCACACGAACATTAAATGCATCCAGTTACTATTATATAATATAATTATAATATGCATCCATTTATTAATGAACGTACGCGTTTTCTCTAGAGGCTACCCAATAACTTTTTGATTTTAGATTCAGTTAATTAAACATTATATAATACAAAATTATATTTATATAATATAATTATAATATGCATCCATTTATTAATGAACGTACGCGTTTTCTCTAGAGGCTACCCAATAACTTTTTGATTTTAGATTCAGTTGGAGAAACCATCACCAAAAATATAAATATAACAGACATTGATTGAATTTTCGTCTCTACTAATTTTTATTGTATAAAAAATTACAAAGAAACTCAAGAAAACATTGCAAAACGTTACTGCATTAATATCACAATTAGAAAAAGAATATCTCACCAGATGCAGAGGTTTTTGATGCAGTCGTTGCTGTATATCAAGGACAGTCGACATTTGATGACTTGGTATTCTTAAATGACGGTTCGCACGGAATTTAGCTGGAAAATTTAAATGAGTGATTTAAAGAAAAATTAGAGCTTCAATTTTAGAGGTTAAGATTCAGTAAGTTAAACTTTATGATAAACTTTTGATCCTCTATGAACTAAAAGTTACAATTGCGAGTGTGAATGAAGCACTGAAGTTTCGCCCATGACACACATCGTTCGACTAGAGTACTTCAAATCTGAGTTTTCCACTTCTCACTCAGGCTGAGCAAATAACGAAACACCTGCAAAATAATCACACACAGCTGAACAATTGAACGTTTTTTGCGATACGGTCATTCCTTCTTGAAATAATTGACTTGTCTATTGTTGCAATTAATTCAAGTTTTCAACATTTCCAATGCAACCGATAAGTCTATAGGAACTCGACGCGTGTGTATAGCAATGTGATTTACTTTCTCCAGCGCAGCAGACGACGTGTCTGTCCCAATACCTCATTAATGTGCATATCTGACAGGAATAACGAACAGCGTTTTTCCAACTGCATTACTCATAAATTAGTTAGTTGACAGTCTACCGACATCTTACCATGTTGCTAATTGGTCGCAGGTTAAAGCAAAAGGACCAGAGTCATTACCAAGTGGCATGCTGCCAAATATTAAGATAGGAGCGAAAAATCAATCAGAACAAAAATTAATAATTGAGATTCACTAAAGAGAAAATGTACCACATTTTTTGGTGCCTGGCACTAATTATTTTAAACTAATTTTTGGCTATTGAACGAGTTTCCGTTACGGATTCGAATATTATTTCGCGTAAAATAAAATTAGTATTAAATATACATTAAATTCAAGATAAAAATAAATGTGTCGTATTGAGAAATAAAAAATTTTATTTCTATGTGCTCTAATTGTGGAGTCAAAAACACTACCTCATAAATTAAATGTTAAAATCGATTTCACAGAGTTAGACACTATACAATAGTACTGGTTTCTCACAGAAATTGAATCTAATGATTTAATTATGTTTCTTTACCAAGACGATTCTATTTCAGGCCGCCATGTAGCGACATCGCCGGTAGACGCTCGCCTCGACGCAGGTGAGCGGTGGAGAATTTATTTTAAAATTCTTCCATGGATGAACTGCCGGCAGACAGTAGCGAGGATGAACTCCCGGCAGACAGCGGCGAGGATGAACTCCCGGCAGACAGCGGCGAGGATGAACTCCCAGCGAGGATGAACTGCCGGCAGACAGCGGCGAGGATGAACTCCCGGCAGACAGCGGCGAGGATGAACTGCCGGCAGACAGCGGCGAGGATGAACTGACGGCAGACAGCGGCGAGAATGAACTCCCGGCAGACAGCGGCGAGGATGAACTCCCTGCAGACAGTGGCGAGGATGAACTGCCGGCAGACAGCGGCGAGGATGAACTCCCGGCAGACAGCGGCGAGGATGAACTCCCGGCAGTGTATGCATGACACACAGTACAATGCATGCAACAGTAAAGTGAATGAGCAGATACTGTTTCAAATTTATATTGATAATGACTCTCAAAATAAAAATTTTTTACCGAAAATATTGTGCTTTAAAATTTAGGAATCTTAGTCATCATAAAGAATAAAAACTGTCTATTGGCATGCTGCATGCATTCGCTTTATTCCCAACTCCCCTCTAGGCTAGCCTAAGTAGCAGAAGTCATGAGCAGTAAAACCGTACCTGACAACCACTTCTCTATGTAATACCGGTTTGACGTCAGAGAACATTTCATTTAAATTCTAACCATTAATGTGTTAGGATTTTAACTGAAAAACTTATTTTGTCTAATCCTTATTTAGAAACTATCTTCGCAACTTGAGACCACTAGAGACTAGACCAGGCCTGTACGAGTTATTAAAAGCAATACAACTAGAAAATAAAATAAAGTTATTTAAATAGTAAACCTAAAATTTTAGGTTATATAGTAATGGCGCATAATACTTATATTGGTTTCAGTGTTTATTAGGCCGTAGGCCTGTCGCCGATTCATAATATCGCAGAACATTCACAACTTGTTGCGGTCTCGAATTCGCAACTCACCACTCCAATTTCCTGCCTGCCCTGATCAATCTGTTTTTTATGTTCTACACTCTGAATCAATACTTTTACAATGATTGAATGAGCTAGCAATTTTTTTCCACAATAAAATTCCTCCGCAATATATCCTAAGTTATGCGCAAATCGCAATGCGCATGATCGAGGTAAATTTTCCAGCAACGGTTGGGAATTATAATTAAATAGTTACTCATAGAACGTTTTCTTCGTTATTCATAGAAAATAGTTGTGCGATTCATTATTTAACACAAACTACCTCATTCTTACTTAGCCATCAATTAGTAATTTATATGCCCATCGCAATTCAGAGGGTTAAGAAATTGCAATGTAAAGTTTGAAGTCTATTTATTATCTTCCTTTTGGTTTCATGAAACAATGTAGCGAGAAAGTAAAATTTGAATTTAAATTGACATACATACTTCTTAGTTCTTCGGTCCCGCATTGAGTAGAAATCTGGATAACAGGGCAGTATTCACAAATTATCCTGACATTCACGGAAAATATGTTTTTGCCATGTCACACAGCGAAAAAGTTACGAATAAGTTTTCGAATTAAAATGAATCGAATTAATAATTGTGTCCAATATATTTTTTTAGACCTAATGATGTATTTTAGACCTAATTTTTAATCCAAAACATCATCAAGCCAGTTCATTTTAGGGGTAAACAGACCCCAAATATTCTAGATCTAGTGTTTACTAGTGAAGAATCGATGTTTGATGAGCTTCGCCACTAGGCTCCGTTAGGAAAAAGCCACCAGCGGTCATTGTATTTCAGTATTAAATGCAATAAAGAAAAGACGCCTCGGAAGCGTGAACGTTTGAACTTGGCGAAAGGCGACTATGTTAAACTCCGTGATGCAGCAAGTGCTGCGAATATTTCGGACTGTATTAAGTGCATGAATGTGGCTGATTCATGAACATTTCTCAAACACACTGGTATGTCTGCAGTTGATGCGTATGTACCTAAGATTAAGCTTGGAAGAGTCAAAAAGTCACAGTGGATGAACAGTGCAGTTCAAGCCAAACTGAAAACCAAGAAAGAAGCCTACAAACGTTATTAACGAACTCACAGCGATGCTGATTGCAACTTGCAAGAGCTCGAAATCAAACTAAAAAAATTCTTTTACTATGTCATTTTGTACAGTATCTTCATATATCTCATAGTGTTTTCTACTACCTGCTTATTACAATTAGCGCCAAAACTTCGATTATTCAAGTACACATTTTTCCCGAATTTAAAGTAATTAATTTGGTTAGTTAATTTAATCAATTTGCTCCAATATCGTATATTTCAATTATTTTAAATAATTAGTGAATTATATATCGATATGAATTATATATGAGAAAATATAGCGACTTGAAGATGATTTTTTCTAAGTGGCATCTAATCATGGCTGATTCCCTATTTAAAATCAGTAGCCTACATTTTTCAACATCGTTATATAGCTTGAATCGTGACTTGACCATGTATCAATAATATTATTAATATAAAATACCGGTAAAATTATAGATTTGTTCATTGAAAAAGTTTCGGAAACCAGTTCTATCAGCATTTCGAAATTCTAGAAAATGATTAAGTCTAGGGAACGCTCTTCGAGTAGAAATTCTATGCATTCTTCGTTTTATGAATTTTTGGTCAATTCCCGGACAATTTTTCGCTGTCTGCTGGTCTGCCAGACCTGTTTCTGAGATGCCAGAGTTTCCGATATTCACGATATAGGCGCAAATTGCTCGCGTCATCGGCGTATCGACAGCCAAATGCGAGGCTGAACTGAAAACTCCTCTAGTATTTAAATCGTGATTTCCAGACTACCAGAAGATGCTAATAATTAATGCCGGAGTATATTATATTGATCCAAAGAAACAATCTATATAATTTCCGCTATAAGAATTCTATAAGAATTGAATCAATAATAATACTTTCTTGATGAATTTTGAGATTTTTTCGAAATTATATACGAATTTATATCCCGTCCAAAACTAAATATTTTGGACGGGATGGAAGTTAGAGCTTATGATTCATTTTTTAAAATCAGATTACAATGTGCCAGTAAATAATTATTAAAAGTTTTAGTTGTTTTAGTTGTCAGAGGTAGTTTCTATGGATATATCTTATTAAGTTTCGTTACTGGACTTTTTAAATTAGTTGAATCGAGTGAAACTCATAAGTGTTTATGTGTCGTCATTCAAATATTTTAGAATAAAAACGATGAAAAGAATGAAAAATTGTATCAAGGAAATTCGGCGATTAAAATGTTTTTGATTCAATTCCTGATTCAACTCACCACAATCAATACCAGCTACTCTAAAGGCAGAAATTTCAGGCAAACACCAAGAGTTCGATCACTTCACTTTACTTGAATGTTATTTCACGGTTGTGTGCCTAGTCTACGGACGCCAGCCGCCCTGCCTCGGCTTCCATTTCTCGCGGGTTTCCCTGCGTTCGGTGGAGACGCAATTAAGGACGCGATGGCGGCCATTCATTTACCGTCGCGGCTCCGAATTGTTCAATTCCAATTGGGCAATTTATGAAGAGCGGCGCAGGCCGAGAGAATTAACTGCATACTATTGCGTGGCCTGTATTATTCAGTGCGTGGCTGCTGCAACGCTGCACTGGCTTTTGCCAAGGTTATTTAATAAATACTCAATATTCGAGATTTATATTCCTATCGAATTGATGCAATAAAATAACATTCTAAGCAATTTACTGTTGCTTAGAGTGGGGGCCAAGCTGAGTTAAATGTGTCTCATATTACGCGCATGAAACAATATAAATTCGAACCACTATATTATTCAAAAAGATGTAGTTCGCGTTTCTTGAAAACTGATTTAATAACATAATTTCAACTGCGCTTCAATGCTCTTTTAATTTACGCAACAGCAGCTGGAGAATTATAATCAAAATTAGTGGATTAAAATTGCAGTGAATATCTATAATGTCACTTTTTAAATGGTCCGGGCGAGGGCTAAGGAGACCATATAGGCCTACAAAGATTTTATAGTCACTCGAATGCACATGGGAAGTATTCTGTATGAATAAATCATACTCTAGCATGATCTATTCAACGAAAATCTTACATGTATCTTAGTAAAAAATACGTATGAAATTGAACCTCTAAATAATCAATTCTAACAGTACCTGTTTAATTGGACGTTGCAGAACTTCACAAACACTAACATGATAA